GAGTCCATGTGATTTATTCCCATGCCCAGACCTTTTTCACCACAGACAACCCCAAACTGCCCTCAAATTTCTCCACCAGCTTTTGCACTGGTGTTTGCAAAGTCCTTTAACACTTCCTTGCTATTTTGCTGTTGCATGCCAAGGAACTTTCAGGCCAGAGACAAGTACCCAGGTTTCCTGACTCATTTTAGTCAGGAGCAAACACACAACATAAACAATAGTTACCTCCCTGCTGCTTTTCTCAGACACACATTGCTTTTTGCTGCTGTGCTTTGTAGATGAAAGCGACCACCACTGACCTCCAGGGTGGGTAAGTGCAACTGGGAACAACTCATCAAAATTTAAGGAAGTTGTACCAAAATTTAAGAAAGTTGTACCCCATCTAACAGAAAGTGTTTTCCTCTCACTTTTATAACCCAGGCAGTTTTGTACCCACACTTTCCTATTAAACATTTTCCAACAAATTCAAGAAAAGGTGGAGCTTGCACACATGAAAGCCCACATCTGGGAAAGTGTTCACACTGTTCTGTCTTTATCAGTTACAAATCTAGAACATAGCATTGCCCTGTGTGGCATGGAAAAGGAACAGAAATTCAGCTGGCACTTCTGCTTTTTGAACAGTAATTTCATGTTTAAGCAGAAATGTGCTATACTATCATATCAGTCAAAAAAGAAAAAATATTAAAATCATTGCTGCATATAGGATTGGAAATGGAAGCAGGCAGGGAGGAAAAGCCAAGCAATTGCTGCACAGCCCCACAGTGTGTGTGCCAGTGCCTTCCCTCATGCTGAAGGACAGCATCTGTTTCAGCTCAACCCCTGACCATGCACACTGCACAGGGACTCAGGGAAGATAAGTTATGACCTCAACATATTTTTCCTCATAGTCTATCAAACTTAGAGCCAGCACAGACATCCCTGGAATTTACCCCATTCTGCAGAGCATTTCCATCTCCTTTCCCTTGCTACTGTAAGAGGGAACAACAGCACCACCAGTTTAGTCATCAGATCCCATTTATCCCTGCTACAGCCTTTAGGATTTCATTGGATTTTGGATCAATGGCGTTTTGGGCCTGGTTCCCACAATGCTAATGAGTAGTGAGCTCTCACACTCTTACACACACAACACAGATTTAAAGTGATGCTGTGGGCACAGCTCCAGGTACACCTGCTTTTTATTTAACCTGGCAAAAAAATAATAAAATACATAAATAAAAATAACCTACAAAAAACATCATGCAACTCTTCATACACATGGAAAATAACAGCATTAATTCCAGTCTATGGTCCACTCCAAGGGAAGAGTCTCACCACCAGCAGACACCATAAAAACGAGCTTCTAGGACACCAAAGAGAAACAGAGATTTCAGTTTCAAAAGTATGCAAGCTGTTGTGGGCTGGACCACATTTAGCAATACAGAGTGAGGCACATAGAACATGGCATAACCAAAACCAATTAAGAAAAAAAAAAGGTAAAAAAAAAAAAGGTAAAAAAAATAGATCCTAGTTTTCAGTGGCTTCAACAAATCATGAAAAAGAGAATGAGTGATGTTTGCCACTGACAGTGATTTTCAACAGGACACAGACCACACCAGAGTGAAGGCACTGAGGCCTTACCCCAAACTCAAGTACAAGCCTGACATGAAAGTTCCTGTCTGTCCTTCCCCATCTATATCATATGGAAATGCACACACACTCACAAGCTTCCTTCAGGTTTTAAAACTCAGGGAGGTGGATCAAACCCACAAGAGATTCTAGTTAGCTCATCTCAGTAGCATATGCCAGCATTCCCCAAAATTGCAATAAATAGTGGTGATAAAACCTACAACTTCCTCCAGACTAACTCATTCCTTACTCCTAAAAGCAACTGGGACTGCAACCCACATATTCACTGGATGGCTGAAGATAAGAGTAAGTGACAATAAAGAACAAAAATATCTCTGCACCAAAAATTTACATAACTAGTTCCAGTTACTGCTAATTAGACCAATTCCCTTAATTCTTCCATTATATCTTCTTGCATTTTTCAGCTCTAGTAAGAAGAGGTATAATAAATTATTATTAAATAGAAACCTACTTGATCACATTACAAGTACTTAAAAGTACAGATTAGCGCCCTGCTACTTTATTCTAATGAAAACCTTACAACTAGTAACCTGGTAGGCTAAATAAGACACCTGAAGCTACTTCACTGTGCCAAGTCTGTCCACCAATTTTGGAGCCTCTCAAATATTTAAAGCTTTTTTCCCCCATCCTTTTGCTATGCAAGAAGACCTACACAAGTCAGACATAAGTGAATTACAAGGCAAAATTGCATAATGAATCTTACACATTCAACAGCAACTTCATCTTTTTTCTTCTATAGCAAGGATTTTTTTTTTTAATACAGAATATATTTTAATAGAGAAACTGTATTGAGTTCTTCCTGTTTCACATAATGTGACAACAGCACAACTCTCACAGGCACGCTTCCCTCTCAGCCACTGGGACCAAGCCAGCTCCACTCTGGGCATCCCACAGCCAACTCTCACACAGCAAGCCATAGCAAGTGTGCTGTACACAGTCAGTCACTTGAGAAGAGAGCAGCTGAGCAGCTCACACCACCATGAGAGCCCCTTTTCAAACAGAAAGCAGCTCTGTACGCGCAGGCCTTGGTTTGCCATGTGCACAAATCCTTCACAGCACTTGAAGAGGCAGCTGCCAAAAAGCAAATGCCAATTGGCAGCGTGGAGGAGCTCGCTCTGGAGCCATCCCACGTGCACAGGCTCTCCAGCTCAGCTTCTGCAGCCTCCCCTGAAGAGGCTGGCAGGCCAGGGGCTTTCCCTTTGCGCAAGAAAGGGATGTTCCCAAAAGCGGGGGCAGAGGGAGGGTGTCTGGAAAAAATACAAAGCAAAGGAGGGGAGAAAGGAGCACAAAAAAACAGGAGTGAAAGAAACAAGGAATAAGATGATGGAACAAGACAGAAGATGCTTTTTATATTAACCTCCTGTCCCCTGTTGTGGGCATCAGTCTCTCCCTAGCAGCAAGCACCAAGACAAGAGGAAATGGCCTCAAGACATGCCAGGGAAGTTTAAAATTAGATATTAGGAACATTTTCTTCACTGAAAGGGTTGTCAACAACAGACTGCCCAAGGAAGCAGTGGAGTCACTATCACTGAAGGTATTTAAAAGATATTTGTGGGATTCACATTCTCTGAACCTGAGAGAAGCAATGAGAGAAGCAGAGAAAAGAATGATCAACACAATTCTTCTCTCATTCACTGCTCCTGTGTTGTGCCAAAGTAGCATGCAATATGGAGATTGTTTACCCAAAGTGATGGTGTTTTGTTTCCTTGGCCTATCAGGGTCTTATAGATGGATAATGAGATGACTGGCTCTCACAATTAAAGATAACTATTGTGTGACTATTAAGAAAAGCTTTAGTGCTGTACAGTTCTGTTATTGTAGTTTAGATGCCCTCTGTTCTCCCCACAGTTCCCTTTCCCCCTGTATTGCTGCCATCAGACAGCCTGGGCTGTCCAGGACAGGTACAAAGGAGCTGCACAGGTGTCCCTGGCGTGGGGCAGTGGGGAATGGAAAAGCTTGGGGGTGCTCAGGGGGGCAGCATGGCAACACCTGACCTCCAATCCAGTGACAAGAAAGCATCTCCACTGATAAATGGCAAAGAAGAGCTGAGTGACAGACTTTGGGAGGGCTGGACTGGCTGATACAACCCCAGGGGTATAAAAGACTGGGCATCCATCTAGAACACAAACTGGCCATGTGGTATCCACAAGGGGCAGTTCCCAGTGCTGCAGCTTTTTCCTTATGTAGTCCTTTTATTGTATTTCTGTTAAGGTATAATAAACCTTTTTAAATGTTCAAAGTGAGCAGTTGTTTCTCACAAGGGCCAAGTGCGAGCGCAGACTGTCAGTCAGCAGTCAGCCATGAGATTCTGTGCAGTTGAGTGAAGTTGGGTGCTTGGGCAAATTCCGGTGTAATTTAATATAGTGTGATATAGTATAGTAATATAGTATAATAAAGTAATTAATCAGCTTCTTAATTCAGCCTTGGTTGGGTTTCAGGGTATCCCTGGTGGGCTGCTACAGGTCCAGATAGCACAGTTCTGCTCAGCACAGCCCGAATTCCCAAACAGCTCCCAGCCACAGGCTACCTTAGCAAGTTTAGGTGATATCAGATCTTTTGTGATTATCAGCTCATTTTGTGATTTCAGCTCTTTGCTAGCTAAGGGCCTTTGGCAGACACAGAGAGAGAGGAGACTGCTGTGTGAGGTTCCACAGGGGTGTCTTTATTGAGATCTTCTGCAAGGTTCTCAGGGAGAGCTCTTCTACCAAACTAGGCAAAAGTAGCCCTTTATATAGGTTTCAGGGGTTTTAGGAATTGTCCAATCATAAGGGTCAAAGGAAAGTGACCTATAGTCTTACAGAGAGATAAGCAAGAGTCTGGAGGCAGAAAAAGGGGCTTCCTAGGTCCAGTCATCATAACTCAGCATTTCCTATCTTAGTCTGCTGACCACCAGAGAGGCCTTGCAGGCCCTGTGCCTGTTACACCTTCTGATATCCAGGGAGTCAGATGCATCATTTTCTCCCCATCATCGGGGCTGCCCTGATTTCTGATAGATATCCTCCTCCTGGTAACACAAGCACAACTATTGTATTCATATTGTTGTTATCATATTTCTAGAGTCCCATACCTTCAGGGTGGTTTTCTCACAAGCAGCTCTTCACAGCAATGTTGCTCCTACTGCTTCATCAGGGCTCCTCCAAGGCTCTCCCTGACCGGCCAGCCCACCCCCTTTTATCCCAGTTATCTTCATTAGCCACAGCTGCTGCCCAATTAACGACATCCCAGCTGCAGCCCATTTAGAACAACTAGGACTGGGGCAAGGCCACTTATACAATACATATATTTTACCAGGACTCCTACTATAAACACCCACAGCAATTTCAGGACAAAAAGGGCTAACACAAGGTGAAGGGAGCAGGGGTGGGCAGCAGTACCTGCGGATGGCCCAGATGGCCCTGCTGGGCACAGGCAGGCTGGGCTGCTGGCGGGGCCCGGGCGGGTGGCAGGAGCTCCAGGCGCCGCGCTGGGCACAGCGATGCTGCTGCTGCTGCTGCTGCTTCCCGTTCTCCCGGCCGGACAGCGATGAGCCCCACGGAGCGGGCACGGGAGGCCGCGAGGGCCTCTGGGGAATGGCCCCGTTCCTCCTGAGAAAAGGCAGGGAAAGGGAAAGAAAAGGATGTGAGGACTTGTATTCTTGGCACTTTTACTCATCCAAAGGTTGAACGCTGTGAAATGGGCACAACATGGTATCTAAGTGTTAAAAACGAGAGCAGGCTCCCAGTACTAAAGTGATTTCAGGTTTTATTATAAGAAAAAGAAAGGCCTAAAGCAAGGGGGCCCAGGCTGAGCAGGAGCGCTCCTGTCGAGGATGTTGCAGCGCCGGTGCTAGGGATGTCTCCAATGACCCTGACGTGGCACAAATTCAGTGGGTCAGAAGCTCCTTTTTATCCTGTTTTTTGTCCCTTTGGATTGGTTTCTTTTTGGATCCTTCATTTGCATGAAGGTTTAAGGCACTGGATTGGCCCATTACAGCTCTGTCCAGGCTGGCTCGTTTTGCTTGGCGGGTGCTGCACTTTACTGATGTGTGTTATGGTACATTGAGAACCATATTTCTTATAACTACTCTTTAAACCCCTTTTACAATATAACAACCAAACTAACAGTACATGCTTAACAATTATCAACTATTTTACTGTCACAGACATATTTAATGAAAAATCCTTTCATTAGGATTTTTCCTCCTGAGAAGCTGAGAAGACTCAAGAACAAAATGTAAACAATGGTTATCTGCTGCTGTGGAATGCAACAGGTCCATCTGTGATTGGTCTCATGGGGTTGTTTCTAATTAATGGCCAATCACAGCCCAGCTGTCTCAGACTCTCTGGTCAGTCACAGGATTTTGTTATCATTCCATTCCACTCCTTTCAAGCCTTCTGATGAAATCCTTTCTTCTATTCTTTTACTATAGTTTTAATATCATATATATCATAAAATAATAAATCAGCTTTCTGAAACCCGGAGTCAGATCCTCATTTCTTCTCTCGTCCTGGGACCCCTGTGAACACCAGCACATTACAAGAGTTTCTAACCTATTTTTAACAAAACTACAACAGACAATACTGCTTTAATCCATTAAAAAAGCCTTTCTGTGCTGAGAGGACAGTATTTATTAGTTCCTTACTAGAGCTAGAGACTTGACAGCAAGAGAAGATGAGCACTCCTGTATCAAGCTGTTCTCTGGACCTCTGTTAAGATGGGAAGCACTGTGGTGTCACTCCTAATTTTTTGCTCCAGAAAACAAATGATGTTCCACCACTTTTAAACAGAAAACAAATCTGGAGAGTTTGGAAGAAGAAGCAGAGGAGTTTTCAGCAGCACATAGAAGGGTGTTTGTTTTCTGCTGCCTCTTAAAGTCAAATGCAATCATAAAATCTTGAGCATCACAAAGAGGTAAATGCACAATACATGCAGCCAGAGGAGATAACACAATACAGCACATCTGGATTAAGAGCTCCATTCCTACAAGCTAAATAGTGCCACATCTGGGCAACTGGCCACCACTGAAACAAAAGAACAGCTTGAAGAGACACCCTGGAATTGGGGCTATGGAAGGGGGAGACTGAGGAAAGGAGGGAGGAGGAAGGCACAGATTTTCCTGCAGTTAATTAACAGTTGTGTTCCCTTTAGCCAGGCAGCTCCTGAAACAGCCTGTCAGGGTGTAAATACAAGTGTTAACAAGCAAGCTGGCTGTCAGCCCCCCAGAAATCTCCCTGGCTCCTTGCCCACCAGTCACACCATTAGGAACTACTTATCCAGTGAAAAGAGGAGGAATCCTCTGCCTGCTGATTGCCAGCGCTGCCACAGGGCAGGTCTGAAACTGGTCTGTCTCCATGAGGGCCTGGAGAAAGGGCCACAAAGGGAGGGAAGCCAGGATGCTCCTGAGAGTCCCCCTTCTCCTCCCTGCAGCTGCTGCTCTCACCTTGTGCCAGCTCTGTTCATTTAATTCACTGCAGAAACACAAATTCAGTGTCCTTTTTATAATCCAGATGCACACAAGCTCATGTAGGGTGTGACAGGTTCCAGGGCTGATGGGCAACACCAGTGAAAACACAAACAAATGATATGAGAAGCAAGAACTCCCATTCTCAGGAGCACTGAGCTCTTATATACACTCATAGATCTGCACCAAGGATGTTTTGGGAAAAAAACAGATAAAACCTATATGTAATGGTTATTATAAAAATTTTCTAATAAACCAGGACTTCTGACTCTGAATGGAGATGGAAAACAGCACAGTTATTTGTGACACTAAGTAAGTGAGGGGTATACAAACTTCAAAGTATTTTATTTTTCTCCTGTGACTTCTGAAAGCTGCTAATTATTCCAACCAGAAATGGATGGGTATTTTCCCTCTTTTTCCATTCTGAGAGGATGGATGAAAAAATATCAAACCTGGTTTTACTACTAAACATTATATAACATTTCTAAATACAAAGCATTGTGACAGAATAATCAAACCGACATTGTGAATGGAAGGAGTTAAACCGGAGAAACTTCAGGATGTTGATGCTTCAGTCAGAACTCCCACACTAAAAATAAATGTTAGTCTTGCCAGGGTGAATTCAGCATTTCAGGGGTCAGTTCTTCACATCTGGTCGATTTACCCAAAAAAAGTAATCAGGCAGCAGAAGAGTAACAAAAAATTTAAAATAAAAATAAATTAAAAAAATAAAAAACCACCACCACAAAACACAGAATGCAATTGTGGGTCCCCTCCAAATTTGTCAAATATCCATCTAATTCAGCAGGGCAAGTCCATCTCCCCCCAGTGTTGCATACCATAATAATACATATTTTAGACTAACAGGTGAAAACACCTGAAAAGCACCATAAGCATAACAAGTTACTTACAATTTGAGTCCATTGTAGGAGAGGGAAAAGAAGTCATAAACCAAGCACACACCAAACACAGTGACTCCAGTTTCTTTCACCAGCATTGCACACGTCCCAAGGAATAAACTAAGCAGCAAAAAGAATGGGGAGGCAGTGGGAGGGAAATGTTCCCCAACATAAAGCTGATCCACACTCCTGAAAAACAGAATTGACATGAAATATCTTAACTTCTCTGCTATTTTCATGTTTCCTACAGTCATACAAATACTGAGACACTTGTCCTTAATGCCTTAAGATGGCTGACACAAACATGTCAAGACATGAACAATCTAAAATGAGAAAAGGCTTAGCCACAGGACAGGAAGGGAAGATGAAAATATGGGGAGCTGCTGCAATTCTTGGTGCACAAGAGGCGAAACAAAGACAAGCAGAAAAATAAAGTAAACTTGAAACAGTCAGGGGAAGGCAAAGTACGGAAAAGGCAGGAAAACACCTGCTTTCTGTCATGTGGAACACACATGCTTAATTCTCCTTCTGGGACAAAAAGCACTAGGCAAGCAAAAATTCCTCCATCCCACCCACAGTCCCCTGAGTTAGAGATGTGTCCTAATCACTAACAGACTGGGCAGCAAGCCCCTGTCACATGGGAGAAGGCAGGAAAGGACTGAAATCAAACAGGCAGATCCCTGTGGGGTCACTGTGCTTCACACCTTCTGAAGCAAACAGCACAGTGGGTTTGCAGCAGACAGCCCCACAGGGACATCAGCAGTTTCTCCCTGTGGCTGTGATGACATGGTGCTATTTCTGAATGCAAACAATGTTATTTCAAACTGCAAATAATGCAAAAGGTGCAGAAACCTCATCCAAGGCAGCTATTTCTGTATCTACACTGGTTCAGTTCCAGTTTTAGAACACAGAGCAGCAAGCAGTGCCAAGTTTTCACCTGAAAAGGATGACTAGTGGTCTAGACACACTCCTTAACTCTCTCAGACCAGGTGTTCCAGAGTCCCACAGTCACAGCACGCATTTGAAAGGCAGGCATGTGTCTGCCTGCTCTTCACTCTACACACAGACAATTTGCCTTCCATTGAAAACATTTCTTTACCATTTTTACAAGCCCTCCTCTGCTATATGGTCAGCAGTGAAGAGGGATTGTCAGTGTTGACTCCTGGTTCAGTGGTTTTTTGTTCTCATAAGTATCACCATGGCTGCAAGCAGGGGCCAGGACACTTCCACACAGCAGAGCTGTAGGAAGCACCTCTGCCAAGAGCCATGAAACACTGACAGCTGCCTCTGGTCCTCTCCTCAAAATAAAGAATCTTATGATGTTACCACGTACCTATTATAGGAGAGAAAAGCCAACAGAAAGAGTAGACAGGCCAGGACGTCTGCTCTGCCTACTATACCTGTTACCTGAAAGGAAAGGAGACACACAGGTGTAAAAACACATCTAAAAAAGCAAAACACTCACTGACTGCCTCAATAATCCATGCTCAAAACTACTATTTTAAGTTTTTGATCTCTCAGTGTTATCCTCCCTCAGCATACCAAAATGTTATTTGGACAGTACAGCGGCACAGATACATTTTATGAAAAATCCTTTCCTTGGGATTTTTTTCTCCTGAGAAGCCTCAGGAACAAAATGTAAACAATGATTATCTGCTGCTGTGGAATGCAACAGGTGCATCTGGGATTGGTCTCATGTGGTTGTTTCTAATTAATGGCCAGTCACAGTCAGCTGGCTCGGACCATCTCAACCAGTCACAAGATTTTATTATAATCCCTTTTCTATTCCTTGCTAGCCTCCTGATGAAATCCTTCCTTCTATTCTTTTAGTATAGTTTTAATATAATATATACATCATAAAATAATAAATCAGCCTTCTGAAAACACGGAATCAGATCCTTGTCTCTTCCCTCTTCCTGGAATCCCTGAGAACACCACCACAGCGTAGGGTAAGCTCAGTTTTGTCTGCTGCATTTCTAGCTTGGCAAAACAAATGATAAGCCAACAAATGATAAAACAAATGGTAAGCCAACAGTAAACTCATTCCTTACTTAATAAAATATTAATTAAGCTATACAGAAAATGCCAATTTTAAGGATTTGTTTTAATTTTGTATAATGGGCTTAGATGAGAAATGCATCCAACTCCCAGTACTGAAATTTGTTAAAGAAAATTACTTACTATGTAAGTAACATTGGAATGAACTTTATCACCAAAAAGGGATGGGATAGAATTTATAGAATTTATTCCTCCTGAACAATCTGAGCTTGCAAGAGTTTTTTCCTACACATTAATGAACAAAATCTTTTTATAAAAGAGGGAATACTGAAGAAGAATAGATAAACACTCTTTTTTACAGTTATTTCAATATTCTACTGCATAAGGATCTAAAAATCACCATAAAGCAAATAAAAGGCCCTTTGAAATCTCGCCCCTTTTGAGATTACATAATTAAGTTATATTCAGAGCTCTGGCATTTATTTTAACCTTTTAAAGTTCTGACCCAGACAAAAATAAATTCCAAGAGGGCCTCATCTAAAACCTCCCTTAAAATATAAAGCTGTATTATCAAAAGGAGCCTAGCTGATTAGTTCACACAACACAGCACAGGGAGTAACTCCAAAGCTTGTGGCTTTTTGTTATTAAGGTAATCTCTCCTCAAAAGTTCTCAGCCACAGGAGCTGTTTCCCTCCCCCATTTACAAAGGCTTGCAATGAGAGCAGTGATGTCAGTGGTGTCTCAGCTAATGAGGGCTTTTCTTTTTTGCAATGTAGAGAGCTGGACATTACCATTTTTTCTCCAAGACAGCAAGACTCCTTTTAGCTATACAAGTGTCTCCTAGTGCTAACAGACTGCAGCTTTGGACTGATTACATGTTTAAATGTTTCCTTATAACAAACAGAAAAATTCCCAATATGAGCTGTTGTTCTGTCAACTTATGCTGGTGTTCGTGAACAACTCTTTTTCTGAAAAGGATTCTCCTAGCTTTCCATTGAAATAAATATAAATTAATCCATGAGTCACAACACCTCTGTCTGAGAGAGCTCCTCCAGAATACACAGAAATGCTGCCTTCACTTTTCCTCCCTAAAACGGATGGCTATAGGAGATGACTGAAGGCATGCAACAATATCCCAGCAGGAGAGCACAGCCTCACTAAGCTCTTTGGTTTCAGAGAACTCCTGACTGTCCATTTATTCCCAGCAGGGCTGATTAGGACCACCATTTAGAATTCAGTTCCAGAGCACAAAGACTGCAAGTATGAATGTGCTTTTTTCCTTAATGACTCCTACAAATTATTTTAAATAGAGCACATTCCCACCTTTGCTCCCCCACAGCAAAAAAATCACAGGTACAACATTCTGCATGACTCAGAGGTTTCCTTAAAGAAATAAATTAGAATTCTGAAGAATTAATTTATTTTTGGGTTTGGTGGCACATACTTACAGCCTCGGTGTGAATGGGGTGCACAGCGAAGAAGAGCGCCGTGACAAAAGCAAGGCGACAGTCCTTGAACACAGCTTTGTCACACGTGTACATCAGCACAAGAGTCACCAGGCAGTGTAAAATTACATTCACTGCATGGAAATACAAGGGGTTCATGCCAGCCAGCAGTATGTTTAACCTGTAAGGAAACAAAACAAAACCACTGCTAGATTTGGGAGATCTTCTAATAGCAAAGGATCTTTCAAACACTCTAAATTATGCCTTTTGCCCCATTTGCAGCCATGTAATGTTAGTGCTATTAAACTAATTACTGCAAACTGCTCTAAACTTTGGTTTATTTGATTAAAGAGAAACCATTTCCCCTATTTTTATATTCTGTGGTTGTGTTTGGCAGCGTTTTTGACAGAGGTGGGGAGTGCTGTGCCCTCCCAGCAGAGTTCACTGCAGTGAGCCCACGGCTGTGCTGCCCTAGCAGCAAATCACCCTGGCCAGCATCGTGGCACTTGTCCCATTTCCCTGCTGGCACCTTCTGTGCTTCTGCTGGCCACGTGGCAGCTCTACAACATGGCTTGTTATTTTCTGCTCTAGAAGAGATTCTTTTGCCCAGGAGCAGCCAAGACAAGGACTTGGTAAGGTGCTGGAGCATCTGCTTAGCATAACAGGGGCATTTAGTCCCATTTAACTTTCAAAACAGTGTCACACACTGAAGGTTAAGCCTTTATTTAAGTGCTTTACTGGCATAAAGAAGCTTGTCTAATAGTTCACATCATTTTTATAAGGATATTGATGGCAAAGATAAGTTAGCTAACATCACCCTAGACTCAGTGAGACAATTAGGGTTCATTATTTGTGCCCATCATTAAAAAAAATAAAATGTAACAAGCTGTTATGACATTTGTTTGACAGCATGTACTAAAACATTCTTCTAGTTACTGTTTTTTACAGCCAGCTTGCTTAACAGCTGCTGACAAGCCTTGCCTTACACACAGTTGAAGATAATTCTCCTAAATATTAACAACATCTGTACATTTGGACAAATATATATATATATGTATGTATGTATATACACAAATATACATACATACACATGGTGCCTATCTAAGGAAGATTCCATATATGAACAAGGAATCTGGAAAAATGTCTAACTAATGTTGAGGGATTTTTTTTTCTAAACAAAAGACAAGATAACCAGTGAAAAGAAGACTCAATCTAAATATTTTACATGCAGTTGTAAATATGCTATAGGGTCAATAATCCTGCCTGTTGTTACTAAAAGACTCCAGGACTCCCATGACAAACATGATGTGACAGCAAGGCCATTGAGCTGTTGCTACTATAAAAAAACACCTTAGGTGTTTCTGTGAGACAGAGGAGGTGTGAAGAGGTCTGTGAGAGCCAGACAACCTTTTTTTTTATATATATAAATAACTCTCTACATTTCTTATTCATAAGCCAGGATGTGCTAGCTGTCCTGGGTTCAATTTTCCAGGCCAATCCACTTTTGCCAGACCAAGAGTCTTACTTGTGCATTCCTGCTGTGCTCCTACTGGAGTGTTTGAGGAGACAACAGATGAAACCCAGAGAGTTTGTGAAAAAGTGAGATTTTGGCATGACTTGACCTTTCCCTTTGAAGTATGGGTTGATGTAGTTACATTTTGACAAGACATCAGTCTGTGTGATTCAAGAATACACAAAGAGTTTGGAGGTTTTTCTTTTTTTATCCCATTTCTCCTGCAAGCCACTTCAGGGCATCAACATCCATCACTTTCCCTTATTTCTACCAGCCCTGAATGACAAACCACAACAAATGGCAGTAACACACACCCAGCCAGGGCTTCAGCAGCAAATACACTGCAGCAGCAGCAGGAGCCCCCAGGGCAGAACCTTGTTTCCAGCACGGGGCCACCCTGCCCTAAAAGAGCCACAGTTCACCCCAAGACACCTGGAGATGTGCACAAGGACAGGGACCCTCTGCAGGAGACATTCTTTATACAAATGAATCATTTCTGGATGTACATCAGCTGAAGCAGAGTCCACTGGTCCCCCTCCAATGCCAAAGTGTGATCTGGGACTCTGATTTCTGGAGAAAGTAGGTGCAGGCAGGCGAGGACAGGTGCTCAGGATATCAAGTGATATGAACTTGTGCACCAAAAGGGGAGAAGTTCTCACTTAGTTGGCCAAGTTGTGAGAACCAATCACTAAACTCATGACATCTGGCAATACTCTTGAAAATTCTATCACCATTCTCCATGGATCATATCTGATCACTTCCCATCCTGCAGAACAGGCCTGCTGGCAGGAGAGGCAGAACTTTAGAGGTAAGGGATCTTCCATCCCCATCAGGTCCCCTATCCCAAAGGTGGGGTGAGTCCTTCACATCCCTTCTTAGGGTGAACACCAAGTCAATGAGGCTTGTAAGCTGAGAGTTACCTGATGTAAATTATTGAAAACAGCTCTGTAAAAGCAACAGCCTTGCAGCCTGGCTGCTCCCCCGCGTGTTCTTTAAATAAATAAAAACAACAGAACAAAATACAAACATAATACCATGCTGTTCAGGTAACTCTTTCACTAAACAGCAAAATCAGCCTGCAAGTGTGTTTTAAATACCATCTTTGGTGGTCCATGAACACTAAACATGAGCGTGTGCAGGTGCTATATTCACACCAGTGCTTTTTGCTGCTAAAGCTCTTTGTCATAAGGAATTAGGCCACATGGCAACGAAGGAAACATTCTTCAGTCCTGAAACAATCCCAGCAGAACAATGTTGAAATGTTACCAGTGGTTAAATTTATTGTATGTCAAAAATCTGGGTCTTCAAACAGCTTTAATCCAAGTCACAAGAACTCTGCAGAGCTGCCCAGCTCACACAGCCATGGGGGGAAAAAGGCAGCCTGCTATGGAATGCCAAATTTGCTCCACTGCAGGGGAACTGGGGAGCAACTTCTGGGCAAGGGAGCCAAGAAGGGGATGGGTAAATAAAAAATTACTTCTCTCCTCTTAATCTTTAATGCCCTAACAGAGCGAGCCAGTCTTGTTTACTGGCAGCAGCATGCAGCAATTATACACAGCAGACTGTTCAGCAAACAAAGGAAGTAAAACAGAGATATGAATCTCAAAATTAAGGAAGATCTGGTCTTTCTCCAACATAATGTTCATAAACAGAAGTTCAAGCAAGCAAAAACTGTACTACACTGGAGGGAGGTGGTGCTGTCCATGTATTTCCATACTTATACTGCCCCAAAAATGGGGAAAATCATATCATGCAGCCATTTCTGTGTGAAGATCATAACCTCTGCCTGAGCTACAGCACAACTTGTAAGACACATCTTCTAAAGAGATTCCACCCTCCACTGAAAGTGGGTATTACTTTGCATAAACTTTGCCATATTTAACACACAATTTGAACAGGAAAAGATCATCACAGGAAACTCAATCCATCCTTATGTATGGAATTAATTGATATAAATCTGCATGTGAGCCTTCCTTATAGAAACTGTGGGAGTTTTATGAGGTATGGGATGCTGTGAGACTTTCCATTAAGTGTTGCTTCCACATCTTGTGGCCTTGGTAGAGCACACATGGAGGAGAGGAGGTGCTCTGGGCTGTATGAACAGGAGCACCTCAAAAGAGAGACGTGTTTGCAAACAGCATCCTCAAGATCTGGGGCTGAACACAGCAAGTGTTAACACTGCTAGGAACAGAGACCCCAAAAGAGGAGATCCAACCATCTCAGACATGGAGGTTGTTCCTCAGAGGAGCCACCCACTAAACACTTGAAGCAGAGTTTTTACTGCTTTGGCATCTCTGCTGGAAGAGTCCCTGTAAGCAAAGATTCTGCCAAACCTCCTGCAAAATGGCAAAGGGCAGTTCAAATGCAAAGGCCCTCAGAAGACCCAGGGAAAGGAGGAGAAGAGCACTGAAGATACACCATAGTGAGGTCTCTCAGTACTAGGTGACACTGAGAGGTATCTTCTAATAGAGCTGACCAGCACCATCCCTGCCACCACCAAAACAAAACACCGAGTACAGAAATCTCAGCATGATCACATGTCCCAGCAGGGCAGACAGGCTGCACTGAAACACGTATTCAAGCCAAGATCAGCACTGTTTTTGTGCCCAAGTGTTGCAGCAAGTGTGGCTCAGCATGTCACACCCAAGGCAGAGCACTGCCCAAAATACACACTCATGCAGGAGGAACACCAAAATAAGAAATCCCTTGATTTTTTAAGGCTGATGGATGTTTTCCAGGAACAGTGGAATACCTCGTTTGTTTTGCCACATGTAGCAGTTTTTCTACCCTTCCTCCACCATCCACTCAGAAAAGGAATTGCACAGCTCCACTCCCAGAGAGAGAGACCTCCACAGGCAGCAGCCTTCTCTTGAAGGTTCACTGGATAGAGACTGTACAACAGCTCTCCAGAAGAAAGCAAATCATCCTTATAACCTCCATCAGTACCATCAGATGTCCTGCAGAGAAGTTGTCAGGGACACATCAATTCTGGGTAAGCAATTCCCACAGAGAGGGTCTGGAAATGGAGTGGGACTCTGTGGCTTCATCCTTACAGACTCAGAGAGGTCTAGAGCAAGAGCACAGGCTCACAGACAAATTCCATATGTACCAAATTATGGTATGTAATCACCAGCACCCCCACCCCAGCTCTAATATAGTGCTTTGCTTTTCATTCACTTGTACACATGAAGATTCATTCAACTTTTTTTAAGGTCTCTTATGATTTAATAATATTGTATACCATAATTGGAGAGTTTCTCTTTTTATAGACTTTGTTATTATCCCTGGGCAGTTCTTGTTTAGTTTCATCTGTTTTATTATTTTCAGAAGACTAACAATGAAACACAACATGTTATGAAACAGAAATGCACTGGATAATAATGGTAATTTGTTATAGCAAGTAACACTTAATGGAAAGTCTCACAGCCTCGCATACCTCATAAAACCCTCACAGTTTTTATAAGGAAAGCTCACATGCAGATTTATATCAATTAATTCCATACATAAGGATGGATTAAGTTTCCTGTGATGATCTTTTCCTGTTCAAATTGTGTGTTAAATATGGCAAAGTTTATGCAAAGCAATACCCACTTTGAGTGCATGGTGGAATCTCCTTATAAACTCCACAGATGCATGCACTTCGTGCCAGGAAAATGAGCATTTGCACTCCA